GTAACAGCCCCTTGCCCCTGCACACGCACGCACCCGGGCCAAACCCTGCCGTGACACTTCCCTCCAGGCGAGGATCTGCCCTCGCTCCCGCTCGTTACCCCTAACAGAGACTGTGGGGATCGTGTCGGCACGGCCCACGCACGCTCTCCGCTCGTACGGTCACCTGCACACCGCGTGAAGAGCTCGACTCATCCGTAGCTCCGGTTCCGAGGTGAGGATCGGGGTGGGGAACAATCCTGCTGGGCTGGTTCCCATCAGTCTCTGTCGCAAAGGCCAACGGCGTCACTGGACGCAGCAAGGATTAAAAATCATCTCCAGGCGGGTGGTTTCCGCATACGTCCTTTCGTCAGACGTCGGCCCTTCCCGCCTTGGGAGGGGGCGGTGACGGGGAAGGCTCTTCCTCTGGCTTCAGGGGAATATCTGCAGTTCAAACTTGGGAGCCCACTCCAGCGCGCTCTTCACCACGGCCAGGGCAGCCGCCCCCAGCGCCACCGTCAGCCCCATCACCGCCAGCTTGACAAAGCGGTTGGTCCTGGGCTTTGTCAAGATGGATTTTGTCCGTTCTTCCCCTCGGAGCCGCTCTCTGAAGCGCTGTCTCAACACAGTGTCTGGTCTCTGCTGCACTGATGCCAACTCAAAGTCCTTAAAAGTGGAAGCCGCGGTTCTGCAAGAGAAGAAGCAGGTCAGGGAAGATCCCAGCTCACCGTCGCGACCGGCCTCCTTCCAGGGAGGAAGATCTTCATGAGGAATCAAGACCCGGCGTGGGGTTGTCCAAAGCAGGAGGATATGGGGGTTCCCCCGCACTCACCGTTCAGCCTGCTGCTGAGCTGCCTCCCTGGCTAGTTCGGATGGTGGGAACTGGACAAACAGGTCTCCAGCTCTGCTGATCAACGTCTCGTACGGAAGGTCCTGCGGGATCTGGGAGAGGAGGTGGTGGACGGAGGCCATGTCGCACTCGCAGTCCAGAACTTCCTGCTCGCGGTACAGCACGATCTGTAAAGAGGAGTGAGAGCGCTGAGGAGAGCCGGGGAAGTGGGAATGGTCCTGGGCGCTCGCTGGCACTCTGGGGCCATGGAAAGCTCCTTTCTGGGGAGTTCTGTCCGTCTGCCAAGCAGAGCCTGCTACCAGTCAGTCAGAGGAACGGGCAGAGCCTCAGCGTGGCTTGACTCCATCACCAGCCCTTGCCTGGATCCCCCACGGAACGGGCAGAGGGACCAGAGCTGCCCCCAGCACCCAAACAAGCGTGTGGCAGCAGGGCCAGCACCCGAGAGCAAAGAACTGGATGTAAAGAAGGAATTCTTCCCGGAGGGTGGGGAGCACTGGGACAGGTTCCCAGAGAAGCTGTGGATGCTCCATCCCTGGGAGTGTCCAAGGCCAGGCTGGATGAGGCTTGGAGCAACCTGGGCTGTGGAAGGTGTCCCTGCCCATGGCAGGGGGGGACACTGGGCGGGCTTTAAGGCCCTTCCAGCCCAAACCATTCTGGGATTCCATGAAAAATACCAGGTCATGCTGCCTCCACAGCACTGAACTGGAACAGCCTGCACATACAGATGCCCAGGGCTGCCCCCAGCTCTCCCAGATTCCACCTGCCCTTCACCACCACCAAGGACATTGCTGGCCTTGGTGGGATCCCTCAGAGCGGGATGCAGCCAGGGACAACGGCAACACTGGGTCTGCCAGCCTCAAACTGCCACCCTCCCGCAACGGTTCAGTTAAACCCCCCCAATTCCAGCCAATACCTACCACAGCAGCAAAATAAATGGGCATCAGGGGGTGGCAGGCCAGGAAAAAGTCATATAATCGCACGACGTGCCTGAAGTCGGACAAAACGTGCCCAAACCAGGTGATGAGCCAGCTGAGAGCAAAGATGGTCCCCACCTCCGCACTACACAGAGAGAAAGCAGGTCTGTTAGGTCAGCTACTGCCAGCAGCTCAGGAAAAGCCCCGAAACGCTCCCAGGGGATCCCTGCGCCACCACCTCCGTGCCTGGGAGGGAACTACTCGCCCCACATCCAGCGGGGCCCATAGAGGTTCGAATGGTTTGGTTTTGGGAGAACCTGAGCGTGTGACGTACCACGTCACTGACCCCAGGACACCGGGGCAGCACAGGCGACTTCTCAGCTTCCTCCCTAGAGGCTTAGGGGCTCCCGGGAGTTTCACTCAAGGTGGGTGCCCAAAGCCATCCTGGCCATGAAGTGTAGACACCTGCCTGGAAAAGAGCTCTGGACTAAACCTTCCCACTTACCTTCCTGCTTCTGCTTGATTCTGCCCAGACTAAACTCGTGTGTCCCTACTGCACAACCTGGAATTACCTCCAGAACCGGCAACAAACTGCAGCGAGGTGAGAGCAGCCACAAATCGGGGCACGTGGAGCGGCTGTGGCAGCTCTCTCTGACCCTGTCTGTGCCCCCCCGTGCTGCAGACCGCAGGGGTGAGGGTGGCACCACGTAAACCCCCTCAAAACAGGTGGCAGAGGTTTGGGTCTGCTTGGAAGCAGAGTGCCACGTGGCTATGGACTGTCACCGTTAGCTGTGGGTCAGCTGCCGACTCTGAGGAAGCCACTGCGGTGCTGGGGACACGCTGGTGCCAACGGCTCCATGACCAGGAACGCGAGACTCGCAGGGCGGAGAGAGGAGGCTGGGAGGGAATGGCTGCGTACCTCTGCATGAAGTCATGCACCTCAGGGTTCACCTGGTCGATGATGGGCATCAGGTAATTTAAAATGTGCTTGGTATTATCCATCGTTGGGTCCATAAAATCCCTGAGGAAAGATTTAAAAGTTCCATCAGGCAACTGCATGGGTGAGCTCTCCCCCAGCCCCAAGGAATTCTGTCTGTTTGGGACAGCCTCCTTCCTACGTGTCTGGGACACACAGGGCTGATCCACACAGAAAACCCGGATCCAGACAATCCCACTGGTGTCAGCTGACACTTCTTATTTTGCTGTAGCGCATGTGTAAAGCCTTTCCAGCACCCAAAAACTAACTTCCTGTCTGGGAGAGGAGGGAGAATCCCTCCAAACTGCTCCTCAGGTGAAGGCTTGTTCTGGTTTCAGTGCACAAACAGGAGAGTCACCTGCTGCGGGACTCAGGACACTGGGGTACAGCCCACACTGCCCCAGGCTACGTGGGTCCAGCTCCCAGGAGCCAGAGAGGCCTCAAGAACTATGAATAATGCATGTGCATTGGCTTTTTCAGCTTCAAGAGATGAGAGAAACTAACTGACAGCCTTCAATTATCCTTTCCCCAGAGCACAACCCCAAGCCATGTGCTATCGTGTGGTCACGCTGCTCTCGCAGCATCCCTCTGGGTAAGGATGCAGCAGGGAGCCGGCCTCGGCTCAAGGCTCTGCCTTCGCCTGCTTGGGGACAAGGCAGCCCCCTCTGCACAGGCGTCCCTGCAGCTCGAGGACATGCAGGTGGCTCCTCTCCTCCGACTGAGCCCGGAGAGTACCTGAGATGATGCGTCGAGAGCTTTTCCACCAGTGCCGTGGCCAGTCTGTCCCCCACAACCAGGAGGAAGGTGACCACGATGTCATGGTAGCCCTGGTAGTAGTGTAGCTGGGGGTTGCGCTTGAGGACGTGGAGGATGATATCGATGAGCTCCTCCTGCAAGCCTTCCCTCTGGTCATCCGGCATCCCTGTGGGAACAGCACCAGGCAGTGGTGGGACTGGCCGTGTCGTCCACCAGCGCCTGCCGCGGCCTGCAAGGAGAGGACCGGTGTGGTTCCCAACCCGCCCGATCCCAGGGGAGGTGGTGCAAGGAGGGAAAACCAGCAGAAGAAACACACCCCAAGCCCGAATCCTGCCCCTCAAAACTCTGACGGCCCAGGGGAAGCCGGCCAGCTGTTTGATCTGCGGAGCGGCAGTGCCCCTGCTTGCCGTGGCGGATGGGAGTGGGCTTTACGGATGTTTGGACAGCGCTGCGAACAGCCAACTGCGCCGCACACCCAGCGGGTTGTAATCCTTTTTAATTTCCCAGGGGTTCTAGAAAAATGAAATTAAACAGGCCCCGTTTTCACCAAAACTGTGTCAACAGCCACCAGACTGCAAGGCTCCGGTGCTCTGCTAATAACGTGTGTTTAGGGACAGGATGTCACGGGGAAGAATCAGCCCGGCGTTGCCGCCGCGCACAGCTGCGGCCGCTTTCTTGTCAACAGATGAAGCGCCCAAAGGCCAAGCAGGAAGTCCCAGCAGAGATCCCGCAGTGACAACGTTCTCCTTGTCCCCTGCTTCGCTAACGCGTCTAAAAATAGGCAGGAGGCTGCATTCAAGGGCAAAAAAAAAATCCATAGGAGCAGACCCTTCAGGGATCAGGCGCGCGCAGCATCCGCCCTCGAAAGAGACGCGGAGTGAATCAACTGTTTTTGCAAAATAAAAGCGGCAGAAGTGGGGGGGGAAGCAGATTCTGGCCAGAAATAACGACTGCTCTGCAGCTAGAGCTGCCGGGGGAAATGGTTTTATAAATAGCACAAGGCACCAGCCGCCCAGAACTGAACAACTGCAACACCATTTTGCTTCTAAAGGTCCTGAATTCTTTTAAATCTGGTGCACGAGCCCGATTTTGAGATCGTTTGGCATCAGGATTTGTTCTAACTGCTGACAACCCTGCCTGCTGCCCCTGAGTTAGACCATGGTCTAAAATAAGCTGAACTGGCCCGTTTTTCAAGCTCTGCATCCATCCTCATCTCAACGAGTGAGGGGCTCGCAGGACTCGGGCCCCTCTGCACCACAACTGCTCGAGGGTAGCAGGCAGAGGGGCTCAGTGGGGCAGGGGAAGCGTAAGGTTGGGAAGCAGCGAGCTGCAGAACGGCTGTGCTGCGTGAAGAAGCTGCTATGAGCTCCCAAGGAGAATTTCTAGGAGTCAGGATCTCGGAGCGACGGAGTGCCCCAAGCTACGGCGAGCTCTGAGCCAGGAGGAGCCCTGCAGACCTTCTCCCAGGGGAGTGGGAAGAGGAGAACCCCCTCTCACCTGGCGGGAAGCGGCGCAGGGATCGCCGCACGTCCAATAACACCTGCTGGTAATCCTTGTTATCCTCTCGCAGCTCCTTTCCTAGGGATACAATAACACCCAGTGCAAAGGCACTGGGTGGAGAGCTGGGCGAGGGAGCTGGGAGCGACCCTGCTGAAGGCCGGAGGGTGAGGCCACGAACACAGACAGGCCGTCCCACCGCGCGTCCCCTCTCTGGTGCGTCACACGCCAGCCCCG